GACCCGTCGAAAACCACATGCCCTGAGATCTCAGTACTGGTCGAGGCCGAATCAACCCGAGACACTGAAATAGGGGACTCCTTGGCGGGCGTCGGCAGCTTGTCACCTGGATGCGGGAAACACGCCTTGGTATAGAGCTGGAAGTCCTCCTGATCAGGCTGGGCCTCCAGAGCACTCTGCACGAACTGAGTGTCAACGATCTCCAATCTCAGATCTTCGACGACTGGGCACTGATATAACCGATGCTGGATCGTATCGGGAGCACCTTTACACAGAGCGCAGAGGAGATCGTCACCTTCTAAGGCGTAGCCTGAAGCCTGCGCACGGGTCTTCGTCCACAACCCGTCACAGGCAAAACACTTGAGAGAACCTTTCTGCAAAGGCGTAAGTTTCCTGGACCTGAACTGCTGCTTGACGACGTCGAAACACGACCTGCCTTCGAACCCCAGCTTTTGCCCAGCAGACTTCTCAAAGGACCTCAGGACCCCTTGATGCAGATGCCTCTTGATGAGTTTTGGGGAGGTGGTGGTGAGACTGATTTCCACCCCTGTGTCCGTGACCAGGGTCGTGAAGTCGGCCATGGACCAACCAATCCTCTCCAAGGATAGCCGAGCAGCTGACAAAGGACCTGAGCAACTGCGCCACGTAGCATTGCCTGCAGCAAACGCGGAGGTCCACGCCTCTCTCAGCTGGCTGAAAGGGATCGCAAACTCAAACTCACGCAGCTGATTAGACCAAATTTCTTTAGCATACCTGACCACAGGAGAGACAGGTGGGAACCAACATGGATCTGATTCGAGGATGGTGAGGGTGGTGAGCGAACGTGACCCCGAACTTGGCTTGACAACCCTCCCAAAAGCTCTCCTGAGGTTTCCCAGTTCTGGAGGAGGAGGAGGCGAAGGAGGAGGAGGAGGAGGAGGAGGAGGCGGAGGAGGAGGTGGAGGAGAACGAGGCGGAGGAGGAGGAGGAGGAGGAGGAGGAGGAGGAGGAGGAGGAGGAGGCGAACCAACCACATGCAGCATGGCAGAGCAGCCCGCCCAGAGCCCTGGGCCCCATCTCTCTGCGCCAGCCCTCTCTCTGGCGCCAGATCGATCAGTGAAGGCCCAGGGGCGACAGCGCCCGGCTGGATCCACCCTCCCTATAGGTCATTCTGGTGCCTCGTTTCATACATCTTTCTTGTCACCCTCTCCCTGCCCTGACCTTCCAGAGAGCTATTTTTTAGCACGGGAGACCTAAACACCTAACACAACGAAACGAAACAACCTAAAACCAAGACGTCGAATAGCTCTGGGATAGGTTTGAAAGTCGCGTGCTATTTTTTAGCCCTCCTGGAAGGTCAGGGTGCTGCGCCCCCGCCTCCCCGTTGGGCTCCGCCACGGGGAGGCGGCAGGACAGGCCTCTGCATGGCTGCAGGGCGCCCACACCACAGCCACGAGCGAGCGAGCCCGGCTGGACAAGATTCAGGAGGGGGGAAACAAAAACAAGCACAGACATAAGTAATCGTCGATTCCCCCGAAAATCTGGGAAAATATGGGAAGTGGGGGGGGGAGACAGAAAAATCCTGAACACATGGGAAAGTCTTGGGAGTCTGATAATTCGCGTCTATGGGGAAAAAAGCACAGACACAAGTAGTCGTCGATTCCCCCGAAAATAGGGGAAAATATGGGAAAGGGGGGGGGAGACAGAAACATCTAGAACATATGGGAAAAGAGTGGGCATCTGGTTATTCGCGTCTATCCGTAGGGGCTTCGCCCCCTGCCGCCGGCCCCCTCTCTCGGAGAGTGCGTTATGCAAGAGCTATGTCATCAGGCCTGGGCGCGGTCGTGACGCAGTATCGGAACTTCATGCGAGGCCGACTCGTAATGAGCAAAACCAATTGATCACCAGAGGGTTACCACACTTGGCGATTGGTAAGACGTCGTGGCTCTACGGATCTGCGTGAGGGGTGCCGCTGGATTTCAGACATGTGGCAAATCCCCTATGTTTTTGGACCCTGACCCTGCCGATCTGCGTGAGGGGTGCCGCCGAATTTCAGAAATGTGGCAAATCCCTTGTGTTTTTGGACCCTGACCCTGCCGATCTGCGTGGGGGGTGCAACCGAATTTCAGACATGTGGCAAATCCCTTGTGTTTTTGGACCCTGATCCCGCCGATCTGCGTGAGGGGTGCCGCCGAATTTCATAAATGTGGAAAATCACATGTGTTTTTGGACCCTGCCCCGCCGATCTGCATGAATGGTGCCGCCGAATTTCAGAAATGTGGCAAATCCTTTGTTTTTTTTGACCCTGACCCCGCCGATCTGCGTGAGGGGTGCCACCGAAATTCAGACATGTAGCAAATCCCTTGTGTTTTTGGACCCTGACCCCGCCGATCTGCATGAGGGGTGCCACCGGATTTCAGACATGCGGCAAATCCCATGTGTTTTTGGACCCTTACCCCGCCGATCTGCGTGAGGGGTGCCACCGAATTTCAGAAATGTGGCAAATTAAATATGTTTTTGGACCCTGACCCCGCCGATCTGCGTGAGGGGTGTCAATTTTCACACGCCCCAGCAATTCAGACAATACGATTTCTCCGTGGTACAAATGCCGGTTTTGGGCCTCCCCCCCTCGCGCGGTCCATCAACAAGGAACAGTAAGCAGCAAGAAGTCAACAAGGAACAGTAAGCAGCAAGAAACAGAACTGCAACAGTGGAAACTGGAAGCTGCAACTGGCACAGGAAACTGCGAACCTCCGGCCTACAGCCTGGTGGCCCCACAAGGGGGCCGGCGGAGTTATTTGTGTGTCCCAGTTTCCCTTCGCAAATTGGGACGCCGCGGCTCCACCATGAGCTCGGGGCTGACGGCCGTGCTGCTTCCTCCCGGGAGGCGCGGCGCGAGAGTGGGCTCGGAGGAGGAGGAGGAGGAGGAGGAAGGAGGAGGAGGAGGAGGAGGGGGAGGAAGGAGGAGGAGGAGGAGGAGGAGGAGGAGGAGGAGGAGGAGGAGGAGGAGGAGAGGAGGAGGAGGAGGAGGAGGAGGAGTGTGCTCGGAGAGGGCCGCCGCGCTTGCTCGGCTCGCCTCCGCGGCGCGGGGCCGCGCGGCCAGGGTGGCGCGTGGTCGGCCCCTCGCCTCGGCCCTGGCGCCCTCGGGCCTCGGCCTTGGCGCGCTCGGCCCATCGGCTCGGCCCATCGGCGCCCGTCCCTTCCTCCTCCTCCTCCTCCTCCTCCTCCTCCTCCCTCCTCCTCCCCCCCTCCTCTCTCCTTCTTCTTCTCCTCCTCCCCCTCCTCCTTCTCCTCCTCCCCCTCCTCCTCCTTCTCCTTCTTCTTCTTCTTCTTCGCAGCGGCTCGGCCTCGGCGCCCTCGAGCCTCAGGTCTTCATCATGGTCATCGTGGTGATCATCGGCATGGCCACCTCCACCTTTCTCAGCCTCTTCCTGCAGCTCAGCCCGGCGGCGCGGCTTCGGGGGGGGGGCACGTGGCGACGCGGGGGAGGGGGCCCTCCGGGGATGCCTCTCAGAAGTCCCCCAGGGCCCCTCTGAGAAGGCCCCCCCCCGCCTTTTCAGAGTCGGGCGACGAGCTCCAGACCCAGACGTGCGATGCCCAGATGTGTTTCGATGTCGAGCTCCCGGAAGTTCCGACCCTTTCTCCCAGGGCCAGGTTTTCACCTGGCGTCGTTTTCTGACTGTCCCGGGGCTCGGCGAGGGCCCTTGGAGGCCGAAAGCGGGCCAAACACTTCCCGTCGTGTTTTTTTCGCGAATGGTCAACGCAGGTCGGGAAGGTCGCTGCGCAGCTGGGCGTCGATGTGAGTGATACTGTGGCATGGAAAGCTCGAGTACTTCAGTTTTGCAAGAGGGGGCCTCAGTGCACGAGTCCACGCGCCTAGGGCGTATGACTTGTCGTTCGATCGTTCTTCACGACGCGAGCACGTCTGGGTTTATGTCGGGCCTGTCCCCCTACAGGGGGATTTTCGACGAAAAATGAAAAATACACCAAACATACCCCAAAAAGGGCAAAACATATCCTAAACATAGTCCCCAGACTATGTTTGGAGCATTCTTGGATCATCTTCGGGGTGCTTTTTATTTTTCGTGGAAGATCCCCCTGTCTGGGGGACAGGCCCGACTTAATCTTAAGGCGAGGGTGCCATGTTGAAGACGGCCCTTGCTCCGCCCGTGAAGCTGTTGCAAACGTGTAACGCTTCGAAAGCGACCCACCCTCCATCCGTGGGTCGCGAACGCTGTTGCGCATTTGGAAATGTGGGTCGTTGACATCGCCAACGTTGACAGGCCCGACATAATTGTTGACGCTTCGCGTATCCCCACCAGTGCGTTAGGTAATTTAGTCGCGTCCGCGGCCCGTTCGCGACCTCCCGCCGCTGGCGCTTCCGCCTGCGGCTGTAAAAAAATAGAACAAATCCCCACCAGCTTTGCAGCGTCTCTTCCGCTGGCATTCGCCCAGTGGTTTTTGCATGGTATTCATATGGCTTTGCGCCCCATTGCCTCATTCCGCCCTCTGGACTTTTCCTTGCGGGCCGCAAATCAAAAAAAAGTATCCCCACCAGCCCATCCAGAAACGATGCTCAGGGGAGTTGAGGTGATCAGGGAAGTCGGGGAGCATGCAGAATAACAAAGGGCGGGGGAAGCTGTCACAGACCCCGAGAGGGGGAGGATGGAAGAGGAATCGTCGTCGTCGTCGTCGTCGAGGAGGAGGAGGAGGAGGAGGAGGAGGAGGAGAGGAGAGGAGGAGAGAGGAGGATATGGAGTAGGGCGAGGACGAGGAGGACGAGAAGGAGGAGAAGGAGCAGAGGAGAGAAGGAGGAGAAGGAGGAGAAGGAGGAGGAGGGGGAGGAGGAGGAGGGAGGAAGAGGAAGAGGTGGTTGAGGAAGAGGAAGAGGAAGAGGACGGCGAACCGAAGAGCCAGAAGCGTCTTGAATGCCTTTTCGGAAATCCTCTTGAGGCTTCTTGGGGGTCTCTTGGGAGCCTCTTGGAGGCCTCTTGGGCGCCTCTTGGGGACGTCTTGGCGCCTCTTGGGGCGCTCTTGGGGCGCTCCTGGGTGCTGTAGGGGCGCTCTTGGGGCCATCTTGGAGGGAGTCGATCAAACAAGAGGGGAGCTCCAATTAGCCTCCCCCCTCGGGAGCCCCATAAATCGCCTCTTGGTCCCCTCTTGGAGCGCTCTTGGGCGCTTTTGGGGTCGTCTTGGGGCTCTCTTGGGCCTCTCGTGGGGCTCTTTTGGGCCATCTTGGAGCCATATTGAGGCCTCGGATGTCCATCGGAAGCGAAAAGGCGAGAAAGCAAAAAAACATTGTTTTTTTCTCTGGGTTTTGGGACGATTTTGGAATCGTCGGGGCCTCCTTAGGGAGCTCTTTGGCCACTTGGAGCCGTCTTGGGGCCGTCTTTGGGCCTCTTGGAACCATCTTAGGAGCCATCTCGAGCGATCTTGCGCTATCTTGAGCCATCTTGGAGCTCATCTTGGAGCTCATCTTGGGCTCTCTGGCGCGCTCTTGAAGCCATCTTGGGGCCAAAAGAGCCGTCCGACCGCTCGCGGAACCCTCCGTCCAGGTCCAGGGGAGGGGGTAGGGGGAGGGGTAAGCCCCTCCCCAAGGGGGAAGAGGGAGGGGTGGAAGAGGATCTGTTCTAGACCACCTGCGCCCAGAGGGCTGGTGGGATTCTTCACGACGCGAGCACCTCTGGGTACGTCGCCGCCGCCGCTGGCCAGGTCCCAGCGCGACGTGCGTCCATGCAGCCCCGGCCAGGCCCCGCGGAGGGGGCGCGCTCGCCGCCTCCTGCGCCCCGGACGGGGCCCGGCCTGCGGCGGTGGAGGCGTAATATCAGGTCGGGGTGCTGACCTCAGGAACCCTAAATTAAGGAACGGGGCCCCTATTTTCCAGAAGTTGCACTTCGATCTCGTATCGAAGACATAAGGAAAACCTGAGGCAAGCTGCGAAACAATCAAGGAGCACGGAGCCCCTCCCCAACGAAAAGGGTTCCTTCTTCAGCACCCCGACCAGTCGGGGCCCTGAAGAAGGAACCCTTTTCGTTGGGGAGGGGCTCCGTGTTCCTTGATTGCTTCACAGCTTGCCTCAGGTTTTCCCTCAGGTTTTCGGTGGGAAATTCTAACTGGTGGAAAAAGGGGCCTCGTTCCTTATTTAGGGTTCCTTAGGTCAACGTCCCGACTGTACAGGTCGCGCCGCCCTCTGAGAGGCTCCCCCCCGCCTTCTCCCAGACATCCGGCGTCTTGAAGTCTTGACCTGTGCGGTACGGGGCTTGAGAACCCGAGGGGGCGCTGGATGATGGAGCCCGAAGGAGGAACAAACGCAATAAACATTCAACTTTTGGCGCTGCGCGCGGATTTCTTGGATCCGCGCTGGGCCCCGCTGGCGGCGCCTCCGGCGGGGTGTCCGGCGCAGATCCAGGAAATCCGCGCGGAGCGCCAACAGTTTATGTTCATGGTGTTCTTCTCATTCAGAAACACAAGGGGCCCCTAACCCCAGTAACACGACGAAGACGTGGCCTCACTGCGGTCCCCGTCTTCACATTAGGGATAATACTTCTGGGCGGTTCGGCCTGGTACATCTGCAGAAAGGACCCCCTATCCCTACTGTTTCTGGCCCTCCTAACTCAGGCCCCCTCCCAAAGGGTCAAGGGACCTTTTTTTTTTTTTTTTTTTCTGAGAACGGGCGGGCCGCCTCCTGGCCACGACGAGCCTCGGCCGCGGATGGTGAAAGGGGGCCCCGGCCAAGCTCTACAGGAGCGGCTCGAAAGCCGGTGACCCGGGTCGCGGGCAGCATTATCGATAGTGGCTCTTCAGGGGCAACGATAGGGGGGGATGGGCACAGGGGGGGCATCATCGACCCCTAATCGCCCACTGGTCGCCGTTAGGGGCTCGATAGCCACAGCCTGCCCAGGAACGTGCGCCTTCACTATCGGGGGCCCATCGCCGAGCTATCGGCGATGTATCTCCGATTTCAGGTCGATGCTACCCCGCCTATGCCAGTCCCCCCCCTTGTCGTTGCTCGTCAACTCTTTACCCGTGCCGGCGACGCTGACGCTTTCTCAGTGACGTCGGGTGCGGACAGAACCCCCAACAGTGACACGTCGATTAGTGAATTGTCCGTTTTCGGTTCTCGAGAGGGCGCCGCGGCCGTTATTTTCCAGGCTTGCGCCCGCCAGGTTTGGGCCCGAAGTCGTTGTCACTAAACCACGTTTTACTAAAGGGAGGTTTGTCCATCCCCGAACGCAGCGTAGCGCAGGTTTTTCCCGCGCCGCGTCGGCGCCCCCAGGCCCCCCACAATTCCAGCGCCGATGCCGCAACACGTGGCTTCAGATGTTCGGTCGGCGTCCGCGGACGGCGCCGCGCGCGCGACGGAACATTGAGATTGGGGGGCAAGGGGGGGATCGGCAAAACTTGCGTTCTGTCGGGCCTGTCCCCCTACAGGGGGATTTTTTCGACGAAACATAAGAAAATATTCCCCAAATACCCCAACAGGGTCAGCAAAATATTCAACAAATAGTCCCCAGACTATTTTTGAACTATTTTTGGATTATTTTGGGGGTATTTTTTTGATTTTTCGTTGAAAATCCCCCCTGTAGGAGGACGGGCCCGACTTAAGCTTGCGTGCAGCTCCGCGGGGGGGCGGTGGACAGCACGCCGCGCCGAAGCGCGGTTTGGCCAGAGCCAGCGGCGCGGCGCGCCACAAGCCGAAGGCCCTGGCCGTAGGCTTCCGGGCCAAGCTCCACAGGGAGCGGCCCGGAAGTGAGCGGCCCGGAAGGCAGAGAGCCCCTCCCGAGCCCCACAGGGGCCCGTCGCGCTCCGCGGACGCGTGCGCCTCCCGATGTGCTCCACGGCGACGTCGCCGATGCGTCGCATCGCCGACACGTCGGCCATGCATTGGCGATGCGGCGCGACCCTTCGGCCCCCTCTGCTCGGACCCCCTCTTGGAGGCCTCTACGGAGGGATGTGCCCAGGAGGCCTCAGATCCCAGAGGCTTCCTTTTTCGATGGGGGGCGGCGGTGGTGTCCACGGCCAGGCCACGGTGGGATTTCCGCCAGCTTCCAGACCCTGGCTTTCTTCACCCAAGGGTTCCTTATCCAGTACCTTCTCGGTGCGGGGTCCCTGGAAATCCCGGCCCTGTCTCCCCAGGGCCCGTTTTCTATCCTTGGCCGTTTTTGGACCGCCCCGCAGGCTTGGCGAGGGCCCCCGGAGTCGACTACACGACGTAAGAATGACCTTTCGCTGTAGTGATTTTTGGCGCGGGCCCACGGGGCCCCCCCGATCGCCGAACGAGATGTGTGTGTGTGTGTGTGGCCCCCCCCCCCCCCCGCGGACGACGGAGGCCGAGGACAGGCAGAGACCTCCCGCAGTGACTTTTTGTCCACGGCGCGAGCGCGTCCGGGCTCAGAGGGCCGTCGCCTCCGCGCCACCCGCCTCGCGCGTGCCGCCGGTGGTCCAGGGTACCCCGGCACAGACAGAACGCCCGCCCAGGCAGGTCGGGGCCGGCGAAGAGGGGTCCTCCTGCATCTCCTCCTGCTCCTCCTCCTCCTCGCGCTCCTCGCGCTCCTCCTCCTCCTCCTCCTCCTCCTCCTCCTCCTCCTCCTCCTCTTTTCTCTTCCACCTGCTTCTCCTCCTCCTCCTCCTCCTCCTCCTCCTCCTCCTCTTTTCTCTTCCACCTGCTCCTCCTCCTCCTCCTCCTCCTCCTCCTCCTCCTTCCTCCTCCTCCTCTCCCCCTCCTCCTCCTCCTCCTCCTCCTCCTCCTCCTCCTCCTCCTCCTCTCCTCCTCCTCCTCCTCCTCGGTGATGACCCGGGGGGGGGGATGTCATGGCGGGGCCATGAGATCTCCCCAGGTCTCATGGCGCCTCTTCTGATTTCAATGCGTTCCCCGCCCCCCCCCCCCGTGGGCCGCGCACATGCCGCCGGCCATGATTTGCGCCCCCCCCTCTTGGACGCCCCCCTCTCGGACGCCCCCGACAGACAGGTCGGCTGAGAGAACCTGCACCCGTTCTCAGGGGCGACGACCTTGGGGGGGGACAGGCATCAGGGGGGGTTGCGTCGACCCCCAATCGCCCAGGGATCGCCGATGCGGGCCCACCGGCCCCAACCCTTCCCAGGACCGTGCGGACCCACTATCGGGGGCCTCTCCCCGATCTTTCGGCGATGTATCGCCGATTCCAGATCGGTGTTCCCTCCCTACAGTCGGGGCGCTGAACAAGAAACCCTTTGCGGTGGGGAGGGGCCCCGTGTTCCTTGATTGTTTCACAGCTTGCCGTAGGTTGTCCTTAGGTTTTTGATGGGAAACCGAACTTTAACTGATGGGAAAAAGGGGCCTCGTTCCTTATTTAGGGTTCCTTAGGTCAACGACCCGACTGTATCCCCGATCTTTCGGCGATGTATCGCCGCTTCCAGATCGGTGTTCCCTCCCTATGCCAGGCCCAGCCTATCGTTGCCCCTCGTGTTCGCTCGGCAGCGGCAGTCGAGCGGCGCGTCTCGCTGGTCGCGCTCCGCTGCTTTTGGGACGTCGACGGGCTGCCCCGCGTCCCTCCTCCCTCCTCCCTCGTCCCTCCTCCCTCCTCCCTCCTCCCTCCTCCCTCCTCCCTCCTCCTCCTCTCTCCTCCTCCTCCTCCTCCTCCTCCTCCTCCTCCTCCTCCTCCTCCTCCTCCTCCTCCTCCTCCTCCTCCTCCTCCTCCCTCCTCCTCCTCCTCCTCCTCCTCCTCCTCCCCCTCCTCCTCCTCCTCCTCCTCCCTCCTCCTCCCTCCTCCCTCCTCCTCCTCCTCCTCCTCCCTCCTCCTCCTTCCTCCTCCTCCTCCTCCTCCTCCTCCTCCTCCTCCTCCTCCTCCTCCTCCTCCGTGGCAGCTTTCGCTGACGGGCGCTTTGCTGACGGGGCTCCGCCCGCCCCCGAGGTACCACCGACGGTGGCAAGAGGCACCTGGACGTCGGCGACTGGCCGAGGGTGCTCGCCACGCTGGCGAGCACGATCCTCTACGGCATGGTCTTCGTGCACCTCGCCCTGCGGGCCGTGTGGCTGCTGATGGACCGCCTCCTTGTCGTCAAGGTCTCGGGCGATGTGAGCTTCCTTGGTCTGGGCGTCTCTCGGGGGTGGACAGAACCCCCAACAGTGACACGTCGATGAGTGAATCGTCCGTTTTCGGCTCTCGAGAGGGCGCCGTGGCCGTTATTTTCCAGGCCTGCGCCCGCCAGGTTTGGGCCTCAGGTCGTTTTCACTAAACCACGTTTCGCTAAAGGGGGGTCTGTCCATCCCCGAGTCTCGCCTCGATTGCAGACCAGACCTCGAGGCCAGATCTCCGACGATCTGACGCTTCTTCCTCCGGGCGTTTTTTTGGTCCTCGATGTCGGCCTCTGGGGCCCACTGTCGGGCCCCGTGGCCATCCAGCATGGACCCTGGACGAAGAGCTACCCTGACGAAGGGGACGGGAGCTCTGGGGCTTCGGATTGAATGCATGTTACCGGAGGATGTCAGTGTCATCGTCGTCGTCGTCGTCGTCGTCGTCGTCGTCGTCGTCGTCGTCGTCGTCGTCGTCGTTGGTCGAGGGTCGAGGATCGAGGATCGAGGACCGCGTCGGTTTCCCAGACATGCTCGTGTCGTGAAAAAGTCACGCCTGACGTTATTCTGGCAGTTTTCTCGGCGGCGTCTGGGCGCGGGGCGGGCAGAACCAAGGACTCGGGAGGAAGAGCCAGGCCCCAGGGAAAAGGGGTCCAGACTTTGGGGATCTGCGCTGTTCCGGGGCTGGAGCACTTATCCATAACCACCGCATGGGGTGTGTCGACCTTCGGGAACGATCGGCGGGCGGTGGATATGGAATTGTTCGGTCCCCAGGGGGTGCCAAGTACAGCAGGAGCTCGACCACAAGACACCCTCCACAAGAACCCCCCCTGAGACCCCAGGACGTCCATTGACTTTTGGTGTGGGAGCGTCACGCTTTCCATGGCAAGACCATCGAAACCAAAGGGACCCAGGGCACCCTGGAGGCAGGCAGGGTGCTTCTTGGCACGGGTCTCCACTGCAACGCACTCTAAAGACGGAGTATGGGTGCATACCGACCGGGGGAGGAGGTGGCTGTGAAAAAGTCACGACGCCGGAGGTCTTGGACCATCTGGGGGGTTTCTCCGAAGGGCTTAGGCGACCCGTCCTCCTCCTCCTCCTCCTCCTCCTCCTCCTCTTCCACCTCCTCCTACTCCCTCCTCCTCCTCCTCCTCCTCCTCCTCCTCCTCCTCCTCCTCCTCAGGTCGCCTACGGCTCCGGGGGAAACCGTGCAGGCCCCTCCGTCCATCAGGCAATGCCACGGGTCTGGAGGGGAAAAAGCACACAGTCAGAACGAATCGCCGATTCCGAGGAAAATGAAGAAACTATAGGAAGTGGAGAGGGTGACCGGACAGCCAGGCTGGCCAGAGATGTTTCGCACAGGCTTGTGCATATGACTTTGCCATGCTGTGTTCGATCGCAATGAGGATTCGTCGTAGAAACAACAAACATCCAGATCATATGGAGCATATGGGGACTCCTGGGATTTGTGTCTATTTAGTTGTGTGTCCCTGGGACCCTTCAAGGGGGCTCTATCTAATTGCCTTCGGCCTATCCCACCACCGTGCCTGGGTGGTGGGTGGTGGGTGTGAAGCGGATGATGATGATGATGATGATGATGATGATGATGATGATGATGATGATGATGATGATGATGATGATGACGACGACGACGATGATGATGATGATGATGATGATGATGATGATGATGATGATGATGATGATGATGATGATGATGATGATGATGATGATGATGAGATGATGAGGAGGAGAGGAGGAGGAGGAGGAGGAAGGAGGAGGAGGAGGAGGAGAGGAGGAGGAGGAGGGAAAAGGAGGAGGAGGAAAAGGAAAAGGAGGAGGAGGAGGAGGAGGAGGAGGAGGAGGAGGAGGAGGAGCGCGAGAAGGAGGAGGAGGCGGACGAGGAGGAGGAGGAGGAGGAGGAGGAGGAGGACCCCTCTACTGGATGTTCCTTGGGATATCCTGGGAGGCCTCTCGAAGTGGCCTCTCGCAGGCCGCTTTGGAGGCGGCGGCGGCGGCCGCCCCTCGTGGGCGGCTCCCCTCGACACGGCCCGGGCCCCGGGCCTCTCACGCGGGGCCGGAGCGCCGCGCCGCACACGCCGGAGCCGCGGCGACGCGGCGGCTTTACAGTCGAAGCCGATGGTAAGTGATCGCCCGCCAGTAAGTTAGTGAGTCGAAGCCGTAGTTAGCAAGTTAGTAAGTTAGTAAGTTAGTAAGTTATCGCCCGCCAAACCACTGCCTTAGTAAGTCATCGCCGATCGTAAGTTATCGCCGATAGTAAGTTATCCCGATTGTAAGTTATCGCCAACCACTGCCTTAGTAGTTATCGCCGATAGTAAGTTATCGCCGATAGTAAGTTACCGCCGATAGTAAGTTATCGCCCGCCGATAGCAAGTTGCCCCCCACCCAAACCCGAAGGCCCCGATTTGCCTTCCGTTTCCAGTGGGGCGGGGGTCGGGGAGCATTGAAAAAACATGAATGAAGCCCGTACCACTCCAAATCCGACATTCGGGCGAAGTTCGGGTCTTCGGGTTGGGTTGGGGTGGTCTGGTAGGTAATCAGTAAGGAGGATCGACTTCCCAAGGGTCAGGGGTCGACCCAAGCGGTGTTTGGGCGACTTCGTGGGCCGTGTTCGTTTCGATGTCGTTTTACAGCAAAGTCGGATCGACGACAAAACGAGGGGAGCCGAACACAAGACAAAAACGAGAAACACACTGTTTAGGTTTCTGCCAAGGGTACCCTTGCACCCTTGCCTCTTCGGTCATCTTCGCTACATCCTCAACCACGCCAGCCCCGCCCGAGAAGTACCAGAATTGCCTTCCAGGGCCCCTGCATCCTGTTCGCGCACCCTCATTCTCAGTTTTGATGGTATCCTCATTCTCAGTTTTGATTGCACGGAGCCCGATTTTCTCCACGCCGCCGGCGCCGACGCATCGTCAATATCGCCGATGCATCGGCGACGTCGTTGCGATCCTCCGACCCCATTTGCTGCTCGAGCTCGAATTCATTTGTGAGGCCTCTACAGTCGGGGCGCTGAAGAAGGAACCCTTTTTGTTTGGGAGGGGCTCCGTGTTCCTTAGTCGTTCTACAGTGCGCCTTTGGTATGCCGATGGTTTTCAATGGGAAATCGAAGCTTGACTTATGGAAGAAAGGGGCCTCGTTCCTTATTTGGGGTTCCTTAGGTCAACGCCCCAACTGTACCTCAGCGGGGTCCGTCCTGGCCAGTCTTTCGCGCCGCGTCCGGCCGTGGCGACGAGCACCCCCCTCGGAGCTCCACAGAGACGTTTGATGCCATGCCGGCGTCGTCAGTCTTCCGAGATCCTCCCCCTCGAGCCTCGGTCCTCCCTCGCAGCGTCCTGTGGCGACGAGACCTCCGAAGCGCCGCCGACTTGCCTCGGCCTTTCGAGATCCTCCCTTCCGCCTCGATCCTCCGTCGAGGGTCCAGCCATGGCGACGAGAGCCCCCTGGAAACGCCTCAGAGACCTCCGAACCGACGCCGACTGCCTCGACCTTTCGAGATCCTCCCTCGAGCCTCGATCCTCCCTCGAACATCCAGCCATGGCGACGAGAGCCCCCCGAAACTCCACAGAGACCTCCGAAACGCCGACGCCCACGCACACGCCCTCTTTCTTCCGGGACCCTCGTCTCGAGCGACAGGCCGCCGCATGCCAGGAAGGTCAGCAGCGATGCCGACCTCTTCGAGCGAGCCCTGGCCGAAGGGAGCTTCCTCCCCAGCCGCTGGGGAGGCTCTCTTGGGGATGGGCATGGCAGCAGCGCGCGCCGTTCGCATCGAATGTCGCGGCGTGGTCGTTGGTTGACCGCCGAGCAGTTTCCGTTCTCACTCCGCGCGTCGTTTGACGGTCCACGTGGGTCGGAAGTTCCTCATGTGGGGGGCGGGGGGCGTTTTTCATTGTTCACAGCGACGACGCCGACGCCCGTGCGAAGAGAACTATGCACATGCACCGATCTTGGCCTGGCCCATCCTGGGCCCAGGATCAGTGCATGCGCCCTCCTGGCCGAGGCAGGATGGCGCATGCACCGAACCTGGGCTCAGGGTGGGCCTGGCCAGAATCGGTGTACGTGCATAGTTCCCGAGGATTTTCTTGAGTTGGAGGGCGAAGGGTGGAATCTGAAATGCCGTTTCGATTGATTTTCGAGGCTTGAATCTGCAAAAGGTGAATCACAAGACGGATTGATTGTCGAGGTGTAAAAGCCCATCTGGATTTCACCCCGAGCCCTCCACCCTAAGAAAATGCTCAGAGTTCTCTCTCCTCTACCCCGGCGACGACGCCGACGCCCCCGAACCCTCCGACCCTCCTCCTTCCCCCTCCTCCTCCCTCTCCTTCTCCCCCTCCCCCTCCTCCTCCTCCCCTCCTTTTTCTCCTCCTCCTCCTCCTCCTCCTCCTCCTCCTCCTCCTCCTCCCCCCTCCTCCTCCTCCTCCTCCTCCTCCTCCTCCCCTCCCCCCTCCTCCTCCTCTCCTCCTCCTCCTCCTTTTTCTCCTCCTCCTCCTCCCCCTCCTCCTCCTCTTCCTCCCCTGTCCTCCTCCTCCTCCTCCTCCTCCTCCTCCTCCTCCTCCTCCTTCCGGCCCTCCTCTCGAGCCAGCCCCCGGCCGAGCAGACCTCCGGGCCGGCCGTCGCCGACGCCCCGCGGAGCCTGCGGCCCCGCCCTCCGAAGGGAGCCTCTCGGCCGAGGGCGCCCGCCAGGGACGCCATGGGGGCCTCGGCCCCCCCCTCCCAGGGGACCAGCTTGAAGTCGTGCCTGTCCCTCTACAGGGGGAATGTTCAAAGATAGTCAAAAAATACTCAGGGGAATATATTTGTTGCCTCTTTTTTGACTACTCGGGGTGTTTTTGCATATTTTTTGGCTAATTGGGGGCCTCGGGCCCCCCTCCCGGGGGACCAGCTTCTCCAGGCTTGCGTCGGGCCTGTCCCCCTACAGGGGGGATCTGCAGAAGTAGTCAACAAAATAGTCA